CTAAGGAAAACTACGTAACTGTAAGACACACTTGGAGCACTATGTAACCCGAAAACGTTCCCACATTAAACTCGTTGGGCGTGCGAGGGAAACGCTTCGTTTTTAATCGCTGATCCGTTAACATATGTGAACATATCTTTTTGTTATAACATTTTTCGTGTCTGTGGATGTTGTGTTCTGTCGCGATGTTCTGTTGGATTGTAATTGATGTCCGCTGCCTGTGAGAATAAATTTCTCCAAACAATCGCTGAACGGTGATACTCCATCATGCCCCTAGTAAGATGGCTGCCATCTTGCCAGAGGAACGGCGTCAGTTATGCGCAGTCATTTCCACTCCAGTAATTTTTATATTCCTCCTCGGTTCGCACACGTGATTCACACTTCGTGCAAACGGACGGTCGTAGAGCATGGCAAGCAAAAAGGGGGATAGTGCCACCACGGCGAACATCGGTTTGACATTTAACGCCGCCTTAGAGAGGGTTTCAAGAATTGTATGTAACGGGCATGTCGGATCTTGAATTTTATAAGGGTCGGTGTTGACACACGCATGACAAAGCAGCCGCGCTTAGCTATCGCGCACTTTTCCCACAGGCAAGCAGGGTATCGTCCACGTGCAGAGGTGGCCGATGTTTGAGATAAGCCACAAACACCACCACGTGAGACCACGGGGGAGCGCAGGATTGGAATGGAAAGGGCTTGGATGGGGGGGGGGGGGGGGGGGTTACACTTTTCGCGCCAATCGGACGGGAAACAAGCATCGCGGTGGCCAGCCGCACAGGCGAAAATGAAGCGATGTCGTGTTTACTAGCGCCGGCTTGCCTTTCGTGCCTGAATTTCCGGGGTTGAAGGTTCGAAGTAGAGAGGCGATCGTCCGCCATTGCTGTAAAAGACCTGCCCGACCATCACACCACACATTCGACAATGACGGGAAATGCAGCTGATTTGGCGTCCCCTTTTAGACGAATAAGAGATTTAGAAGGGGGGGGGGGGGGTGCTCACGCTTATGAGACAGACGTGAGCTGTCCTATATGACGCTATGAAGGATTGGGAAAAAAAATGTACGATATGTTTCGCGTAAACTGCAGGTTAGACGAAATGTTCCGAGTGTGGGTACGAGTAAAATAAATGTTCCAATTGGCCACGCAAAGAACAGACTAAATTGACAGCAGCCCACGCCCGCAGAAATTAAATTATGTAATATAAATTTTGCTTTTTCGAAGAACCACTCGCGGTATACAAGTAACCGACAAAATTAATTTTGCAACCCCACATTTTCTTTTTCTCCTCGGACTCCGCAATTGTTGAGATTATTTTTCGGGCGTGCACTCTAAAAAATATAATAAATAAATTAATAACCCGTGTTCGCATAGTTAGTTGCAAATAACTCAATTACTGTTCATGGCAGTTTGACTCTTCAGCATGCATACACTATCATACAGTAAATATATTAAAGAAAGTCCAAGTATACGGAAGCAATCGTAATAACTATAACTTTCCCGCCTTTTTGCTTCCTTTCCATGCGCGGACGTTTCATCTGCGAGTTGTACTTGCTATTCTGTGAACGGACTCTTTGTTCGCTGAGTGTCGGAGCAGTCGCTAAGAAGTCCTAACTCAGCGGCGATAAAGATATGTTAGCAAGGATAATATAGAGTAAACTCGCAAGATAGCGTGAACGAAAGATCAGTACTTGGAGAAATGATTATGACATATATCGTAATTTATCATTAAGAAACAGTCGCAAGCAGCGCCAGGGAACGCCGACAAAGCGGAAGGAAACAAACAGTTGAAATCAGTTGCTCACAACCAATGTAGAGGATTAGCGATGGAGTGGGTGGAATACCTGCATTACATTAGGTCGTGTTGGCTATCATGTGGTACTGGGCTGCTGCGGTTAAATAACACACTAAATTTAACACGCACATGACGCGTAGTGAACGAGAAGCATGCAATCTGCTTTCTCTCTCCTTCACGTTCATACTTAACTCGGAATTTTTCAGTTAAAAAATTTAGACAACTTCAGGTGTATTTAATGGTGACAGTGCCGAGCATTTGATTCACTTCTTTAACTCATGCGGACACGTGGGCGATGATGTTCCTTCACGCATGGCTCGTTCCCACACTAATTTGTATGGGTATTAAATCATGTGGGACTGGGTCGCACATTTTTTTTCTTTCGTTATTTCTCGTTTATTTGATTTTCTACGTGTAACTCATACTCCTACATCCAACGCGCGTCTCACGTAATAGACGTAACAGACGAGCATGTCATGTTTGATGTCACAACCCGTCAGTCGTGATAGTCATACATCCTCGCCCTCGCAGGTTATTTGTTTGTTTTTTTTGTTGAGGGGGGGGGGTATCTGTTTTTTTTTTTTCCAAAAACTGTTTGGACCCATAGCCAAAGGCTAGAATAGGGTCCAATGATGCGATACAAAATGGCACAGTATACAAACGATAGCACAAGACCACAATAGCACATGTAGCAAAACAATAGAACAAGGCATTGAACCAGGATACAAGATGCTAAACATTGCGAATATAGAAAAGAAGGTTAGGCATTGTACAGACATATATATTCAGATACTCGAACTTGGGTAAGATAACAGAAACATGACATTTTTATACACAAACAAAAGAAAGGCAATGAGTAATAACAACTACGCAGTAAACTTTCACTGGACGTAGTGATACTTATATGCAAGAATTGAATGATTTTGTTAATATTAAGGGGGTTACGGAGACACATTAAGGATTGCAAGGAAGTGTTTTGACAACACCGATTTGGTGGTGAATCATAGGTGCTGCACAAGAAACCTAATGTGGCCAGTTGCTATTACCATAAAATAAAATATATCATAACATGTGTTGTCTGTGCTTCTTATCTGACAACCTAATGGGGTCTTATACGAAACAAACTAATGTGATGCTACGTACGATGCTTAAACAAATTTGAGACCGCGTTCACGTTGGGCGACAGCATGTCTGCATTGGTGGATGTAGATGAAAGAGGAAAAAAAAAAAAAGAATCCATGCGTTTCATTTGGTGGGCAAGAGAAAAGAGACTGAAAAAAAAAAACTTTCCCCAGTGGGACGCTTTACCACAGCAAGAGAAACTGACAAACTCCGCTACGAGCTCTGTCCATGCCTGTGATTTTGTACTGTGGAGCATACCTTTGCGGTTAGTTGGTTGATCCTAGAGAATGGGTCAACCCACTACGGGTGGTCACCCTCCAAGCGTGCGGCCGTAGAATTTGTGACAAAAGAAAGCATATGCGAAATATATATATAAATACGTATACATATACGTTGCATGACATCGACGATCCAGCCGAGAGTGTCCATATAATTGCTATCGCAATAGAATATAATTCACGCTGAAGCAAAAATGTTAGTGGTCATTTCTATTTCCTTACGAAATGCTAATTAAGCGAGTATCGGGTTCTTTACGAAATGCTAATTAAGCGAGTATCGAGTAAAGCATTCGATTACCCAGCTAAACGGGGTATGCCGGCATATATGAACATTTCTTTCTTTCTCGACCCCGAGTTTCTGTGTTTATTATTTTTTGTCTGCTTTTTATGCACACCAAAAATGCTGCTTTCAACTAGCAAAATACCATATTGTTTGCTTTTATCATAGTTTTTAGCCACCTGGCTCACGGCTAATCCCTCAAAGTAAGCGAGAACCCCCCCCCCCCCCTCTCTCTCCGGGTTGACTGGCCACGAACAGCAACATTTTGGTTTTGTCACTCGAGCCACGCCATTCGTGTACGGATGGCGTCGACGAGCGTTACAAAGCGAAGGCACAGGAGAAAAAATGAACCGGACATCCTGACATTGTTCACGCTCCAGTCTCACTACACTGTATGTAAACAGACTCTCGCGGCGCGACAGGTCAACGCACGAACGCTGGGCCCACGGCTGCCAAGTATCTTTTTCTTATTTTACGCCGACGTCTGGAGCTGGCTGGCGCGTCTACCGAATAGTCGAGAGTTGCCCGCCAGTGAGCACCGCGTAGTATGCGCTCTGCCAAGTCCCGGCGTGCCAAAACACAAGACTCGCGTCTGCTTTATTCGCGGCAGGCAATTAGCCCTGCCTGGTGGACGAAAAAGAAGACGTCAACTGCCGGGCTTCATTGCCAAGGTAAGGAATGAGATACGCTATTGGAGCAACTATCCGCGTGGTTCTGTCAGCCAGTAGCGCGCGAGAAGTCGAGCGTTGTGCGTCACGCGGGTTCAGAAAGATTCCATCACACGCTCGGAGGCGATTGGAAAGGTGAACAACACTAGAGCAACGTGCTTTTCATTTCTACTCTGGAAGTCGGGTATCGACGCCCCCCCCCCCGTGACAACGTGACAGTCTCCGCGTTTCCGTCCCGAAATGCGTCATCAAGCACCTCCGTGACTTTGACAAAAACATTCTAAGATGCCCGAGATATCGACGAAGGCGTAGAACCGGTAATGCGCTCGGAAAAGTTATACGTCCACGCGGAATAGCTCGAAAATAGAACGACGCCATTGAGCGTGAGACGTCGTCTCGATTCTGTTTGGCACATAAGGCCAGTGCGGAGGACGGACCTCCGAAAGAATCTTCCCCCCCATCTTTCGTTTCAGCCGGAAAGAAGGCAAAACGTGTCACTGACCGACTAGTGACAAGCTACACAGATAGAACGCATGCGCAAAGTTTGCCCCCCTCCCTCCCCCTCCTCCCACTGTTCTCCTTCTCCTTTACCCTTTCTCTCTTCGAGATCTCCCATGTTCCTGTAGGAACAGCCATTAGGAAGCAAGGGCCTCTATTCGGGCACCCCTTCGTCCTTTCTAAGCCACTGCCTAGCCTTTTCATTCCTCCAACGACCGAGCAGGAAAAAAAAAAAAAAGTTGCCCTCGACGGCGGGGCAAGTGGGCAAGTGCATGCAGATGCCTCCTCGCCCCATGCACCACCCTCCCCACCAGAGCCGTGACGTAGCAGCCCGCTTTCGCTTACCTTGGTAGCCGAGTCTGGCCGAGTCCAGTAGCCCATATTTGCAGCAGCGCGTTCAGACGTCGCAGGTTCCGGCGTCTGCTAAGCACCCTGCACTGAGTGCGCGCACTTGGCGTGGTTCGGCTGCGACACTTGGGACTTTGAGCACCGCTGCACCCGGCTAGCGTGTTACGTTGCTAGCATCCTCGCGCTGGAATTTTTCACGCACGCTTTGCAAGGAACCTGGATTACTAACCAGCGACTGTGTTCAGCATGCCCAAAGTATTTTTGGTGCGACACCCTACGTGCCGGCGGCGCCGGTCGCCGTCTTCGCCTGCTGTGACGCCCCCGCCAAGCCCGAAGGAGCGGACGCAGTCTCAGAACTTGACGACATACCCTCTGGACGGTGCGAAGCTTCTAATGGGTAAGTGTTGCGCCGATTTCGGCGAGATCGCAAGTTCCGGACTTGGCGATTGAAATGCATTTAGGCAGACCAAGCCATAAGGTGGACCTCGGGTCCAGAAACTACTTGCAGCGCCACGTTATACATGCAAGTGCATGAAGCATACCTGAAAATACTGGAGTATTGCGCGGCTTCACCCACGTAGTGTGGCATCTCGCTTCTTTGAATTCCTTCGTCTGTTGTTTGGGAGGCGGGAGCAATCAGCAAGAAAGAGTAGCGTTCGCTTTTCGTTTAGAGCCACCTCGCAAGCGGCAATTTCGTTTTGCATTCAAAGCGAGTCGCCCGCGAAGTGTTTCATATTCCGGTCGCGTTCTTCGCAAGAGCGCGTGGAATAAGCGATGCGCTGGCACGGCCGCTGGCGTAGCCCGGAAACGAGAACCCTTTGGGTGCGTCGTGCATAGGAGAAGCGCATCGGCGGAGATGGGACCTTGAAGATCGGCGCGCGGCGTTTTTCCTTGAACTAGGAAGCGAGCTGCCCTTGCCCTTGGTGCCGCCGGCTCGGCACCGGAAAAACACGCCGCGGTAAACACGTGACGCAACCGCGATGCCCCGGCGCTTTTTTTCCCCCGAGTCGCGTTACGTGGGCGCCTCGCGCGAACGACAGCGACAATCGTGCTTCGTCTCTCTATCAAAACTCTAGGCTCAGTCCTATCTTCACTACGCGGCAGTTATCGCAGCCGATTCCCCCTTGCACTATTTCTTCTAACGGTTCTTGGCGCGCATCTGGTGTTTCTTTTTGCCGGGCACGCACCAGATGTGCGTGCGTCTTGCGAAACTGCTCTCGCTGTCCGTTACGGGCCCCGCTATGTTTAGGAGGGTCAGTTTCCTTCCGCCCGAAGGACTCGCCTACCACCGGTTGCGTCTTCGCGCATGCTAACGACGATCGCGAGCGGGGAAAGCATTTGGTGAAGCGATGCGCTGCAGATTGCCGTTGAGGCTTGCGTGTCGAGAGAGGAGGAACCGTTTGCTGTTCCGCTTTTATTTTCAAATTGATGCTGTGGACCGTAGTAGTTGGTCGAGTGACCGCTTACCGAAGTGCGAACATTCCAAGCTCTTTTACGTTACGTGCACTTACTCTAGTTATTTAGACAGCGCCTTGCGCGCGTGTTGCACGTCAGATTTTTCGCGACTACAGTTTCGTGACGATAGTTATAGCGCGAGAACAAAACGACGACACAGAGACAAGGACACGAAAGACACGACCGAGTTGGTATGACATAACTATCGTCATGTCATACCAACTAGCCCAAGCTGCCACACTTCTAAGTTACAGTTTCGTGTTAACGTGACATACACGAAGCGGTGTGCCGACTAGCCCCCGGCTCGTCCTCCAAAAAAAAAAAAAAACGGTTTCCGTGTGTCCGCATCCGCTTTGCGCGCGTTTAGTCCAGCGTTTGGCATGCTCTTATGGAATCGTTTCATCCTTTTTCAGCAGTGTGAAGAAATTGCTTGCGACACACCGACGGAGGAGCCGTCGTAGCGCGATGCAGTCCGTCTGCCTTAGGCAGCGGAGAGTCCAGAAGAAAGCGCCGCCCAGCGTCGCGTTCAGATACGCTCGTTTTCATTCGCCGTTTCGGTCGCGCACCTACGCACTCACTACACGCGGCCAACAGGTCATGTATGGATATCGGCGCGTGGAAAAGAAAAGCGCTCGTCGTCCACTATGTTCAGAACCTGCCGCTGTGGCGGCAAACCGGTTGGTGCTGGCGCAACAACACGGCTTGCCCGGCCCTTTCGCCGCCGCCGGAGGAAGGTGAAAGTGTAGCCGTTCATTGCCAAGGCCGGATTCACTCTCACCGAACGTTCACTCGGCGCGCGCGCGCTCTTGCGAGGCATTCCGAGCGAAGGGAGGGGAACCTGTCTGCATTCGAGGCAGCGTGACAGGTTGCGTTTGTCGCGCCGCGTAGTTTCCGTTACTTTTTTGTCGTTGCGCCGCCGCGGGGAAGGAGGAGCGGCGCTGCTGACGTGAGACGCGCTAACGACTTTCTGCTCTCGCTGCGCCCTCTTCCTCCCTTTTCGGCCTCTTGTTGTTCTGGATGACAAAAGGGAATGGTCGTTATGGCCGAGGGACCGAAACCAACGCCGCATAATTGCGGGACCGTATACTGCATTTTAAACTGGTTACATTCACGGGTCGCTTCGTTGTTTCGTTAAATTAATGAGAATGGTAGTGATCAGAGATGTTGCTGTAGGAGCAAGTGTGGCAGAAGCGCGGCGATCGTACCGCAGCGAGAAGATATTACTCATAGGCTACGAAATGTGCTTTACCGAGGAGTAGCTTCTAGTTAGTGGCAAATACTTGTTGAAATCAGTCTGTACTTTGTGATGGAATTGTCGAAGGTTGTACAGAACCCTAAACTGGCAGTTTCTGCGAATTTGCATACTATTTTGCATATAAGATGAGTGGATTTCACATGCAACATTGTAGGAAACTTCATGGCTGGAACTGTGCGAATGACGCGCTCTTCCAGCTAATAAGTTATGGCAACTCGCCCCCCCCCCCCCCCCGCCTATTTTTTACCACTACGGAGCTCGTTTTCTCGACGTTGCTCAAACATTTCCGGAAATGACGTGTGGCCCTAATCATGTAGGGAAAAGAGCTGCGCCAGTGGCGACACCTCGCGGTGCCGTGATCAACCACATCTTCATAGTTTCGTTTTGTAAGGCAGGCTGCTCCTGGTCAGACGAACTGATATTATGTATTAGAAAAAGGGCATTTCTCGTTACGACTAAGTTGCTAATACATTACAGGAGTCTCTTGAAGTTGGACTTGGCTGGTGAGCAGCGATGCTTGCAGCATGGCTAAGGCGGGAGAAAAGACGAGTGCATAGCGACAGGGACAGCATAGCGTAAGTCTAGTATGGCAAGGATAAAGGAAAGGTGACGGCAAAGCGCGATAAAACAGCGGAGTTTCAAAGTAACCTATGAGAGGCTGATGAAAGGAGTAACCTTGTGAGCTTTGATCCTGCTTTGCTAAACCAAGCTCTTTTCTTCTTTGCTGGCTTTGCAAAACTTTGCTAAGGAAAAGCTGTGAAAACATCATTCTTTTCCTCCAGCGTTTGTCCGAAAGGAGCGGGTTCGGAGGTTGCAAGAAACGTTGAACGGAACGCTGCAGCATTTACGAAAAGGTGCTTTGGTTGTAGTTGTTATTTACACCGCAGTCACCGAAGGCTCGCATATAGCTTTATTGTTTGGCGTTTATATCGACACTCGCTGTGCGAACAACGTAAATTCCGGCACTGCTCATGCCGTTGTGACGCGAGGCAAAGCGCATTGCCTTGGATGTTCTCCCCTTTCCTGCCTTGATTCGCCGCTAAATTGATAGGCCGCGCAAGGTCTTCCATGATGAGGTCAGTGTTCTGGAAATGATGAAAATAGCTTCGCAGACGTGTGTTTACTTATGGTTGTCTTTTTCTTATCAAATATGCAAGGTCGCTGCTATCTACAAAGTGAATTCTCTTCCCCCACCCCCTTTTTTTTTTGTTGTTTTCCTTGAATGTAATCTGCTTTCTGGGTTTAAAAAAAGCCAACAGGACGGGAGTGGTAAGATAAAGCTCTCTTGCTCAGGCAGAGCGACAGCGACGGTTAAAAGAACACTGACGCCACATGTCCGAATACTCTTCCTTCCCGTTAAATGAAGGTCCCGGTATTTGAAAGCCTAAAACGTTGGCGGGTGCGAAAAGGGGGGGGGGGGGGAGACGATACTTTTGTCTGCACTGCATTCCGGTTAGCGGCTCTGTGTGAAAAGGTAGGGGGTAGGGAAAGGGGGGAGCACTGTAGTAACATTGCCCACGCCGCCCTTTATAATAGAAAACCATAATCACGCCTATGCTAAGAGAAAATGCTGATAAGTGTTCAATGTTAAAATAAGGGAACACTGATGGCTCCTCTACGAACCAGTGGTGTTATATTCACAGGAGGGGACGGTGTCGTCAAGATATTTTCGATCTAGCCCGGTGGTGTAACGTATTAGGCCGCGAATCGATTATAGGGAATAGCCGACTCCAGACGGAGAGAGCACCAAGACGTGGAGTTTCGTTCCAGCGGGATACTTGCACCACGACTTCTCGATACATGACATACACTCGGCTCCTGTGAATCGGAAGACGTTTTAAGACTATCTTGAAGATGCAGGAGTTTCAGAACGACGTGTAATCTATTACAATAACGTAAAGGTACTAACCATAAAAGGAGGATATCAAATGAATGTTCTTCCTTGGAGGCTTGAAAGGCAACGCACCCTTATTTTTCTTTTGATCACACTAAGACACCCTTTCTTATGAAGCAAAAAAAAAGTGATGACGTAGTTTGCGTAGATAGGAAATAAGCGGAAGCTGCAAATCGAGGGCATTTTTCTAGACTTGTCGGGCAAACGCTATCGCAAGAGACGCGCCTAGTTTCGACTTTACAAACTACAGGCAGATATACTACCGAATTCTCCAGCTGGTACTTCAGGAGCGACATGTGCGAATTCCTGAGACAGACGCATTGTTACCAACTTTTCTCCGTGTCTCTCAGGTGGAGCCTTTGTTTTCCTCCGGCACTTTGTAGCGCAAGTATTCTTACAGAGTATGATTGTTGCCGGACCGCTCTAAACAGTTGGATGAAGATGCCCTGTGGCAAAGTCGTTGGTTGCGAATGGTAGCAGTATCATACTAGTGAAAGTGGCCGGGATTCCTCGTTCTCGAGCCGACAATCCCTCTCGTAAACATATTGGCCCGGAGTCGCAATACCTTCTTACTTACACATTCGGCATCGGTCTCGACTTTGAATTGTGAAGCTCGGGTTTTCTGGTCAGCCTGGCTGGTGCCCGGGCAGGCAAGCCTTTTCCTCCCCCTCATTCTTCCACGCGCTGGCGAAGAAAAGGCGGCGTGAAAGTGGCTGAGCAAGCGCTCCGCGATACGCATCTCCCTCTCGAGGCTCGACCCCCGCAAGAAGGCGGCCACCGTATCGATGGTGGCCCACCCTGGGCGCGCTCGTCGGTAACTTACTGACCCACAACAACAACAAGCGAACGGCACGCGCAGATGTCCGCCGTCCTACCGGTCAGTCCTTGAAATGCACCAGGAAGCAATTTGCTGAAGCGTCGGGCGCGCGCTCTGCGACTCCAGCTGCCGGGCCGGCGGCTTAGAAAGGCACGTTATACACCTCTACGCTCCCCCCCCCCCCCCCCCCCACACTTTCCGCTACTACCTCACGTTGTTCCGTAAAAGGCACTGCTGCAACGTCCACGCACACAGTGTCGTCCTTTCTCTTCAGCTGCCCGGCCTTGCCCTGTTCGCGGAAGGAGGGCGCCGTTTTGCGCAGCTCTTCCTTCCTCCAGGTGGGAAGAAGGGTGCCCCCCCCCCCTTACAGGCTGGAATGCTGCCCCCCCCCTTAAGTTTGAGCGCACTGGTGTGGGCAGCGGTTAAAGGAGGAAGCCCGCTGCTTCCTAGTGCTCACAAGCGGGTTATACGATGCACCACCGCCGGTGTTTCGCCCCCCCCTTCCTCCCCCTCGGTAGTTTCCTCGAGACTTGCTCTGGATGCTCATTTCACTCTCGGCTTCTTCTTCCTCTTCAATGGGCCGTCGGTCAACTTCTTTTATGGGCATCTTTGGCCTTCTTCTTCTGTGTGTGCTTCTTCATAACCAGCTGCGCCGCCACGCTTATTGGCGCCCTCGTTAACAAGCCGCGCCACTTATTTTGTTTTCTTTGTTTTTGCCTGCTCATCATTCTCTGCATTGGTGAGATCGGTCACGGAGCGTTTCGTTTGAGGCGTCGGTGATTTACGACTCGTCCTCGCCGCGTTGAGATTCTGGAAAGATAATTATACTTTTGCTGTCTAAGTTAACGTATAAGTTGCCTTTCCTCTTTCCCCTGCGGGTTATCCCTGCGACGCATCAAAACGTTTGCCTCTGCTTCCTGTTTTTATAGCCCTCGACACTACTGTTTCCTTCCGTCGAGTCAGATCGTAACGGTAGGATGGTAGCTTTCGAGCTCACGCCCCTGCTGCGTCAGTTGGTAAAAAGATCTTTTTCGGCAACTGGAGATGACCGAAACGCGAGCATACGAGAACCTTTCCCGAGAAGATTCGTGGTGGTACCGTTGTGTGGAGCTGGCCTTTTACAGCAACCGCGGGAGTCCAGCCACTCTCCTGCGTTAGCCTTGTAGTCTCCGCAGCGGGTAGCACTGCGAGACATCGCGGCTGAGGATCTCCTCAAGAAACGGGCCCGCGGGGCTCAAAGAGAAAAGAGACATTCTCCCCTTGTCGCTTCCTTGGCGACAGAGTTGAACCGTCTGCCCCTTCCTACTGCCGGGCTAACTTTAGTTTACCGAACAGCCAAGAAAGAAAAAAAAAGCCATGTCGTTCAGTTAGCAGCATGCTGACCTTTTTTGCAAGACCGCTCGCTTGGCTGTTGTCCATGCAAGCCTCTTCACTGCCCCGTTCAACGTATCTTTTTTTTTTCCCACGGTTTCCCCATTTGAGGGCGCATAGCTGAGTGGGTTCCTCGAACGGTTTCTGGCGGGCGCCTCGGGATCGCAGTTGCTGCGCGATGGTTGTGTTTGCACTCAATGGCCGCTGGTTTGCAATCCGCTGTTGGGCAAGCTCCACGTATGCTATCACAGAGAAGACGTTCAACTGTCGCCTGCTTCGTCGTACCAGAGAACAGTTTCGTTCCGGCCGATCGCCTTCTCCCGTGTTCTTTGCGACGCCATCTTGCAAGTTTCTCGCGAAACGGTGAAAGCCCTTCCTCAGCGTGGCCCTGCATTTCCAGTCGTCGTTTGCGAGCGCCTGTATGGGAATCCGGTCCGTGTTCGCGATTCGTCGTATACATAACCGCACTTCCGGGACAGAATGACAGTTGTCATTGTAAAAGCTGCTGGTGCGTCTTGTCGTTGAATTCGCGTAGGAGATACGTCATTGAGAGGCAGCTAGTATTATCGATGAAAAGAGCAACAATGCCATTTCATCGATGTCATAATGCCTGCTTCTACGCAACATTAGCGTTTTGCCACCTAGATGCTAAGTTCGCAAAGTGCGTGATAATGTACATCTACGCTCAATCAATTAATCGCCCTTGCGTATTTTCTGCGCAGATTTGGAACAACCAGTGTACAGCTGCGCAGATGGATTCACTCGCCTGAGCATTCCGCCCTCGTCTCCTCCGACGCCACCTTCGTCGAACGAAGGAGATAAGGGCTCCCAGCAGAGCGGCGATGACCTGTCTTCGGAGGAGTCCTCCTCCGAGGTGTCATCTTCCACGTCCTTCCTGATCCACGTGCCCCGGCCTCTTCCGACATCGCACCCTGTGCCGCTAACGCAAGACCCACGACCTCTGCGGGTGCCCGTGATCCAGTCCCCCATTTCCCGTTACCCAGCCATGACGAGCCGTCCACTGATCATGCCTCCAGTCCATGGACATGCCAGCTGGACGCCAGAACCCGCGTGCCAGCCCCTTCGCCCATGGCGTACGTTCCCTACCAACCGCGCGCGTCTCCCGTAGCCAGGCACTCTCCCCCGCCTATGTCCAAGAAGGCCATGAACGACGATGATCTGCCTCCTTGTACAAACGAAGAGTTGCAGGTCCGACTAAGCTTCATGCGGCAACGGCTGAACGTCCCCATGGAGGTGGATATCGAGTTTGTCAATGGCGGCCATGGCATCAAGAACCCGTTCCTGAACAAGGCTGGCCGACGGGCTGGTGTCCAGTGTCCTCGGCCGCCGTCGGCAGCAGACTCTCACGACTCGAACAGCAGCTCTCGGTCAGTGGAGTCTCCTCTAGGTTCTCCTCAGAGGTCGCTGCAGACGCCTGTGCCGCCGCCACCACCGCAGCAGCGGCCGGTGCAGCAGCATCAGCAGCCTGCAGCGAGACCTCAATCAACCAGCAAGTTAGTTGCGCTTGTGTTCAGTGCCCCTGTCACGTGGTGGTGTGTGCTAGCTTAGGGGGACCTACCAACTGTAGCATTATTCGACGCGAAAACCAGGTATACAGTAACGTATGATCCGCTCATTCACACTTAGGCACAAGAATGGTTCGGGCCTCTGGCATAGTCCCAGGGAGGGCGTAAGGGGGTCAATCACCCTCCATTCAGAAATGTTTCGTCTTTGTATGCTCGTGCTGTATATATATATATATATATATATATACTCTATATATATATATATATATATATATATATATATATATATATATATATATACAATGTGCGTATGTGTTTGCACGCACTAACATACATATAAAAAATCGTTGGTTCCCCTTCACACGAAAAAATTATTTCCTCCAAGTTAGGGAGCGCCTGATGACCTGGCCCTATCGTAAATTCTCGTGATAGTTAAACATCTTGGAAACAGGGAGGTTATCTGCACCTGCGTGACAGCGGCGCTATATTGTGTTCATTGCAATGCCGGTGTAGATTTGTTCTCTTCTTTAATATAACGCTAGCCTAAACAAGCGCAACTCGAGCTACACCTGACCACGGTTGCTTGTTTCCTCCCATAGGCTTTCGTGCGGGGAGTGCGGCAAGACCTTCGCCCTGCAGCGGCTTCTCAATCGCCACCTAAAGTGTCACAGCGACGTCAAGCGGTACCTGTGCACCTTCTGCGCAAAGGGCTTCAACGACACGTTCGACCTGAAGCGCCACACAAGAACGCACACCGGTAAGACAATAATTCTTCTCTTTGCGCTTGTGCGGTCGGCCGTGCCGTAAAAAAAAACTGCGAATTTCAGCCAGCTTGGTCTCATACTTGCAATAAGAACTGCGCTTCCATATGTACGCTTCTTGCTGACTAAACCAATGTGTCCTTTACTCCTTCTGCCTGCCACAGGTGTCCGCCCGTACTCTTGCGACCGATGCGACAAGGCCTTCACGCAGCGCTGCTCGCTGGAGTCGCACACGCTCAAGGTGCACGGCATCCAGCACAAGTACGCCTACAAGGAACGCCGGGCCAAAGTGTACGTCTGCGAGGAGTGCGGCCACACGACCAACGAGCCCGAGGTGCACTACATGCACCTCAAGGACCACCACCCTTCAAGTCCGGCCCTGGACAAGTTCTACGACAAGAGGCACTTCAAGTTCACCAAGGGCACTTTCCCTGTGGGCATTCTGCGCATGCCCCCTGCCTCAGTATGAGCGGCGGCGTCTTCAAGGCGTCAGCCGCGCGGGAGCGCCTTTTTCCCCGACTTGGCGCGTCTGTCTGTCGAGGGCATTTCGCGTGTTCTGCGAAGGAAACGGTACAACTCCGATGCGCGCTTGAAAGGGACACTATAGGGAAGCATTTAATTCAAGTATGCGACACTCCAGGCTACATGCCATTGGATACAACCGGAGCATTGTGGAACTCTTAAGGGGCTAAACTACGGTAACATGAAACTGACTCTCGAAAGCTCTGAAGGGGTGTAGGGAATCAGTACGTGCGTTGCCTCGGAGCCGCAGATTGATTCCCGAAAACAAATATTGCCGAAAATAAAAGTAGTTGGCTTGTTCCATAAGTAAGACGCGGTTGCAAAAAAAACTGCGCAAAAGGGACATAAGTGAATCATAACAGCCACGAAATGAGGCTTTGAAATGGGCCTGACAGCTCAAAGGAACACATCGTATTCTTCCCAGAGGCAGCTGCGGTGACTCCTATGTGGCGAGAATTTACGCTCATTCGTGTATTGATGTTCTGGTTCGGCAATTAGGCGTCTATCGAGGCGATCGCGTCTTGTCACAAATGTAAATATTTTCAAAACTTCCAGTGCACAAACGTGATGACCTCTAAGGCAGCTTCTTTTATAAAAAGACAGCTTTTGCCTTTGTTTTATTGACATTTGTATGTGTAGAACACACAGAAGCCTCTTTAGTGACCCTTCAAAGCTGCGGCATCAGTGTGGCTAAGTTGTGCCTCGCAAGAACACGCGCCAGCACTGAATGTTAAATTTTGTGTGTTGAATGTCAAACGTTCTTACGACTGTGATACCTGGCATCTCACTAATGTAAATAGATGATCCCTGCGGGGGTTTCTTCATTAATTTATGTTCAACCACACATTCCTTCGCAATGTTCTTGTTCTGTCTTTTTTTATTTTCCGCATCAAGTCCGTGATGCCAGTATTGTGATTCGCGCCTTTCGCTTCTGGCGCACGTGCTTTTTTTTTTTTTTGTGGTGCCGTCCAAAAGAACATGCATCGGATGTTGCGGTGCAGTACAAAGTTGTATGTGTAAATATTTTGTTTGTGTTTGTTGAACACGGGTTGTTCATCTTTCGATCACTTCCCCGTTAGTTTCTGCCCATTTATTTGTCCATTTGATGCACATTTGACCAACGAGCCTGTGCTTCTAGTAATTTTTTTCGCTCATTTCATTCAAAAAATAATTCATTAAAATTGACAAAAAAAACGTCCTTACGAGATGCTCTCCTCGGAACTGGCTGGATGAAAGGATAATGCCAAGCATACTTTCTTTACTGATTTAAAACTTGCTACTTACGTTCGGAGAGCGTCTGTCTTTGTTCATAGACTTTCATTGTTCATGTTGAATAAATAGTCAAAAAAAACCTGGATCATTGTGTCTGGAATCCATAATTACCTGCCCGTGGAATTCCCACTGGCTGAAGCTATTCAGTTTTTCAAGAGCAAGGATAGTACTCGGAAATGATTCCGTGTACTATGCTGGCCGATTATCGCATCTAAGAGAATGACAGCAACTTGCAACGATTGCTGGGGTTGTCCCAAAACGGCGATGCGATAATGAGTGCGACAGCGAGTGGGCAAGTGGCGACATCCAGTGCCGGCCACATGTAGCTATGCAGCCCACAATGCTCAAACCGGGCCGGGAATTCGGGTATATGCCGTGGTCATTGGGGTGTATGAAATCAAATATAGAAATATGTAACGTTTTCTAGCTGGCTTTGAGAATTGCATATTTCAGGCCGCGGGATACGCTATAATGTCTTGCTCTGTCCTCCCGGACCCGGCTACCGATTGGCAGCGTTTTGCGACCATGCTGAAAAAGTGTTGCAGGGCCTTTTTTAAAGCCTCTCTTGCCTTCACCCGGCCGTAGAAGGAGCTTTGTTTTTAGCCGATATTTATGCCTACTGTTAAAAAGGAATACTGGTTAGAGTGAAGTAATCTATTGTCCCACTGTTATTTCGTTACGAAGAAATGAAAAGCAGGCCGCTTCACAAAAGATTGTAATCTTCTCCACTGTCCCTTTTTCGAGTGCCGTTTCTTCCGCCCTTTCCCGAAAGCTTTCCGCACATATGCCGGTGTCTTGTACTGCATCCGAGATCGGCCCGCCTTTGAGGTCCGACGACGGAAGTTGGCTGGTGTCAGGTGTGACGTCATCGCTGTTCAGGAGAAAGCTACGTAAGTTTTTGGAGGGGAGCCTTGCGATATGTTACGAACTACTTGCGAGCGCTTCGGACTTCAAGGTTGCCGATCGACAGTTTTACGGCTTGCTAGCACGGCACCCTCGTACTGATTACATTGACTCGCATAAATGGCGGCATATATATCTGCCAATACATTCATAAAATGGACATCGCATTGTACCCGTTGATGTGAATTGTACGGATGGTCTTGCATTATAAACTGGGATCGAGGCAGAGAAGTATAGGAAAATGATAGGTGTAGCATAGAGGTTCAGGAAGGGAGCCGAGTGCGTCGTAAAACGAGCGAGTGTAAAGTCGAAATCGATAAAAAATGAGCACGGGCTGGACATGTAGCGCGTGGGCAAGGTAATTATTAACGGCTAGTTATTAGCAGTAACAGACTGGATTCACGAGAAGGGAAGTGCGCTGAGAGGGAGAGAGAATTTTGCGAGGGTAACGTCGCCTGCAGTAATGACAGGACTAGTTTAATGGGTAAAACATGGAGATGCCTTTTTCCCTGCAAGGGCGCAGTCAGGCTGACGATTCGACATGAGCGGGAACACGTGACTCAAGACGGTCTGACGATAGTTATAGCGCGAGAACAAAACGACGACGCAGAGACAAGAAGGAGGTCGTTTTGTTCTCGCGCTATAACTATCGCCATGCCATACCAACTAGCCCAAGCTGCCACACTTCAAGACGGTCGCCAGAATTACATGCAGGTAGGAAAAAACACCTGGTCTGCATAAGCAGCGGCACGTGCCGTAGTTTTTTTCGTAAGTCGTCGCCTTCTATGCAGAGCCGGTTTTTCTTAAAAAAAAGTAAGTGTGTACATAACATAGCCTGATGATTCGAGGGTGCGGGGCGTTCAGAGAGAACGGGCGCGAGCTTCCTCGAGGCCACGGTAAAATGACACCGGTGCGCTGCGGTTCCCCGCACGTCGCGGTGGCATATACGGGCGACAACGGACCAAACTGCCTCCTCCACACAAATGCCTGCTTCAACTGTGTGCGGCCAGGTGCACGAACAGCGCGACCAACGGTGCGCGAGGTTTTCCATTGCATTCGCGCGACGATGCACCGTCCTCTACCGTTTTTTGGTCGCGTGGAAACGCTGGGCGTCGAAAGAAAAGGGGGGCACCCTGCGGTTTGCTCATCCGGCCAGGATGGGCGCGTGCGTGTCGCCACCTAGCGGGAGATCGCGGTATCCTCCGGTCGCCGACGACGCCTTCGGAGGGCGCGTGTGATGCGCTTGTCGTTCGTTGTTGCCTGTTCGTTCACGTGCATGCTCTTCCCCACGCTCTCCCTCGTACTCTGCGGTTGTGATTCCGCAAGCGACGGTACACAGCTGCGGAGATGCCGTAACGCCCCACGACGCCGTGAATACCGTGGGCTGAAACCTCCAGTAAGCTAACGGTCTTCAGAAAAAAAAAAAAAAACTGTGTGCACCTTCTCCAGAGGAACAGAAACGTACATATGCATGACCTTCGAGGAGACGGCGGTTGCCGGAGACTGGTTACGTCTATTCGTTTTTCTGTTTGCTTGTTTCAGTTTGGGATATTCGACGGAGGAATTGTCGCGCTTTATGAACGCGCCCACCTTCAACTCTTTTAGACCTGACGCACACATGTGCGAGCACATCAATACGTGGGACAGCTGAGCGAGAAGGGTAAATGTTGGTTTGAGCAATAACGCACCATGGAGAGCTATAGAAATCAGGTAGCATAGACACAGGGGAAGGGGGAAATGCGATGTCTTTCCCGTAATTTTACCCAATCTGACCTGTCTTGTCATAGGTTAAACATCAAGGTAATAGCAATGAGCGTTCCTTTCCCGTAATGGCGGCCGAACGCTTCTGATGTTGCTCTAACTCTAGCTAGTAGCTGTTGCATTTCGAGAATCTTGCTTCCTCTCTTTGGTGCTGAAAAGAAGCCAGGGACCTAAGGCAGGCCATTCTAAGGACAACCCCGTCTCTTTCTTTCCATTTTTCATCGTTTGCGAAGCACGTTGCATTGTGAGCTCGACCAGTGTTGTATCCTTTACCGAAAAAAAAAAGTAATAGACCTTACCTCTGCAGTTACTACGGATTCATAAACAATAATCAATGTGTTTTTGCCACAGGAACTCAGAAATATTTTTGTATCTCAAATTTATGTTTCACATGAAACTTCTAACCCAATAAAGGACTATATTCAATATACATGCTCATTCAACTAGCACTATTTGTAGAAATGTACTGGACCATGGCTTCCTTGAAAAACTTTAATTGCTGCATTAACAGGGGCCAACCCTCGCAGGTGGGCTTCTCTCTGCAGGAGCGCGACCACTGCAACTCGGGCACTGTCGACCAGGGCCTTCTGGCTCAGGCACTGCGCCGTGCTCCCGACCGGGTTGCAGAAATTAGGTGCCTTTTTTTCATCTTCTAACCACTACCACCACCACCTTCTGGCTCGTTAGGTAGAATCTGGGACCTTAGCAATGTTATAGTGGCAACGCCGTGATAGTGACTTAAAGTTGCTTGTAAAATGTGACGGCTTGTGACTCTGTGCACATAATGAAGCTATTTTTCTCAATGCGACATTACGATACACAGTATTAGATTCCATCCTCCACGCTAACCACAAGGGAAGCATCACTGAACTCTCAATAAATTTGCACTAATCGTCTTTTTCCGAGTCCGAAGAGTCGCTCTATAGTGGAAATCGTCGATATCGAAACTGGTGGCCTTTGGGCCGCCGCGCGCCAGTAGGCTATCGCGGAGGCTTGCGCTGGCGCTCTTGTTTTTTTTTTTTTTTGTGGGGGGGGTTAGGGGGGCGCATTTGCACGTTTGCGACAGCAGATGTCCCTTGGTCCACACCTGTCATCTCGTTTGGGCCACCAAAACTTATGGCGTGCCTCATCGATGCCGGCACACCTGTGCGGACGACCTACAAAGAAAAGGGCTATTCTGACGACGCGCTGAAGAAAGGCTTCATGGCTTAGTCACGGAAAAAATATTTGTGCGTAAACATTTCTCGTTCACTTTAGCCTGTATAATTACAGCAAAAATTCACTAGCGTTTGTGTGAGCGTGTTCAAGTACAGCCTCGCCGGCTCAGGAGTTCATTAACCAAAAACGTAGCTTCCGCTGAGGAGAGAAATAAGTAAAACTTGTTTTAAAAACAAGGTTGATAAGTCTTATCAACTTTGTAGCAACTATTTTGTAGCCAGTATAATAAAATCACCCACATTTAGACATCTAATAGTTTTCTACATAGTTTTCTTTGCTCTACAAATTTCAAACAACGTTATTCACTCTTCATTGTGCATATATTCCATCACAAGATGTCTTCATCGTAACGGCATATTTGCGCGTTACATCATTGCAAAATTCCGAGAGCGACCGGTGATGAAATTAGTCCCTCCGTGTTGAATATGTTCGATGTTTCTCACCTCGTAAACTATGTAGTTAAAAAGAAAACTGAGTTCCTTTTCGGGATACGGTGGGTGGGCATGAAGTATGAAATACTCAATCAAATCTAAAATATCATTTTTCGGATTCGTGTCGATAATTCGTGAAATTGCCCGTACGTGACAGTGGCGTAGCGAAGGGGTGGCCAATAGAGCCTATGCCCCTCCCCCTCTGAATATTTTTTTTTCCGCTGTGACATACTTGTTTGCCCGCGGCCCCCACTTCAGATATAAAAGCCGCCCACTCCTCCCCCTCCCCCCTGAAATAAACTTCTGCTTAAGTAAGCCCCTGCTTTTCGATAACCGCGGTTAGGAGACTACAGCTGCCTGTAACTGTTGTTAGCCATAGTGTTCGTGTGGCAGCGGTATTAACGGCCTTTAGTTGAAGCAGAGGGCGTTGAGAAACCGAGCCAGCCAAGGTACCGAGAAAAAAAAATTAAAAAGCTTTTTTTTTCGTTTTTCTTCACAAGAAAAAATTCGACGTGTCGCGCCTCAGTTGCGTCATTTTTAGGTTTTATTCCTCCCATGGGGTCACGCCATGATGTGCAGAATTTCGTTTCGGCAGACTCCATCAGTAGTGCAACTGTAGACCGGTTATCAAGTAACCGGCTGTCCCCTGGATGGGCCAGAATTTAAATAAGCCGATTTATAAATGGGGCTATATGTCTACGACGCCGAAATTGGCCAATTCGATGCGGCGGTCGTTCAGAGCGCTGTGCACAGCAAGTGTCTTTGTCACTCG